GTCGTTCAGTTCACTGATCAAGGTGGCAAGACAGAATCTTGAACTCTGAATGACTCGGATATTTTTGCCAAGATCAATATTCCAGTGCTGTACATCTGATGTGTGTGCACCTTTCAGCCACTCAATCGACTCAACTACAGAAAAGAAAAATTCGGAAAGTGTTTCAGCTAAAAAAGGTCTTTGTAAGACGCCAGTTCCAAATTGCACTTTCATCGTTTGTCAGCTATCAGTAAGATATTGTGAAAGATGTCCGTTCCAAATAAGAAAGCTTCAGATTGATAGGGATGTAACTACTTGAAAAATACAAGGAGAACTTCAACGTTTTGAGCGAAGGCACTTCATTGGGAAGTTAGTCGAAACGTGGAAGTTTTATCCCTGCCTTACACCGGCACAGCGGTTCCAAATAACCGTTGCATCGTTTGTCATGTGTCATGTATATTGGTCTGTCTCTAGTTGACATCCATCGGAATGAACTCAACCATCACTTAGGGACACAATTAATATTGGTCTACAATTCAATACCTGAATAAATTATTTCATGCACAAGTGCATCTTCAGTAATGAAGGAAGCATTTCATCTTGAGGCAAAACAACTCGTTCGTGCCATCCCAGTTTAGACATTGCAACTCTATCAACATAGGAGCCTGTGTGATGTATGCCTGAGTTACAGTATGTCTCCTGTATGCTTTCAGGCCAGTAGCTCAGCTGTGTGTCATCCAAGTATACATGAGGTACAACAAAAGATCCTTGCTCTAAGCTCTGGACATTAAAACGATGTACAAACTCTTCTGCCAAATATTTCCTGAGTTTATTCAAGAACTTCCAATTTCCTTTCGAGAAATGATCAAACAATTCAATGTTTCTATTTATAGCATTGGTTTGAAATTCAGAGAATGTTTTGGCACAGGTTATAACTTTTTCTATGAAATTTGTTGGTAGACACTCGCGGGGAAATAGGGCTTGCTCAGGGGCGAGGGAGGTGTAGTAGGTTTGTAGTTTTTCTAAGAGATCTTTGGACAGATATTCAGGGCCAGCGAAGCAAGTGCAGACACAATAAACTTCTGAGTTTCCTGCTTTTCTTCAACGCTGAGGACAAGGTTCCTTACGGTGAGCACAAGGTTCTTCACGCTGAGGACAAGGTACCTCAAGCTGAGGACAAGGTTCCTCACGCTGAGAAAAAGGTTCCTCATGCTGAGGACACGGTTCCTCGCACTGAAAGCAATGTTCCTCACGCTGAGGACAAGGTTCCTCTCGCTGAGGACAAAGTTTCTCACGCTGAGGACAAGGTTCCTCACTCTGACGACAAGGTTCTTCACGCTGAGGACATGTTTCCTCACGCTGAGGACAAGGTTGCTCAAGCTGAGAACAAGGTTTCTCAAGCTGAGGACAACGTTCGTCACGCTGACGACAAGGACAATGTTCTTCACGCTGAGGACAAGGTTCTTCGCGCTGAGGACAAGGTTTCTCACGCTGAGGACATGTTTCGTCACGCTGAGGACAAGGTTGCTCAAGCTGAGAACAAGGTTCCTCACGCTGAGGACCTGGTTTCTCAAGCTGAGGACAACGTTCGTCACGCTGACGACAAGGACAATGTTCTTCACGCTGAGGACAAGGTTCTTCGCGCTGAGGACAAGGTTTCTCACGCTGAGGACATGTTTCGTCACGCTGAGGACAAGGTTGCTCAAGCTGAGAACAAGGTTCCTCACGCTGAGGACAAGGTTCCTCACGCTGAGGACAAGATTCTTCGCGCTGAGGACATGTTTCCTCACACTGAGGACAAGGTACCTCACGCTGAGGACAAGATTCTTCGCACTGAGGACAAGGTTCCTCACGCTGAGGAAAAGGAACCTCACGCTGAGGACAAGGTTCCTCACGCTGAGGACAAGGTTCGTCACGCTGAGCACAAGGTTCTTCAACGCTGAGGACAAGGTTCCTCACGCTGAGCACAAGGTTCCTCACGCTGAAGACAAAGTATCTAACGCTCAGGACAAGGTTCCTCACGCTGAGAAAAAGGGTCCTCATGTTGAGGACAAGGCTCCTGAAGCTGAAGACAAGGTTCCTCACGCTGAGAACAAGGTTTCTCAAGCTGAGGACAACGTTCCTCACGCTGACGACAAGGACAAATTTCTTCACGCTGAGGACAAGGTTCTTCACGCTGAGGACAAGGTTCCTCACGCTGAGGACAAGATTCTTCACACTGAGGACAAGGTTCTTCACGGTCAGCACAAGGTTCCTCACGCTGAGGACAAGATTCTTCACACTGAGGACAAGTTTCCTCACGCTGAGCACAAGGTTCCTCCAAGCTGAGGACAAGGTACCCCAGGCTGGGGACAAGATTCTTCACGCTGAGGACAAGGTTCCTCACGCTGAGGACAAGATTCTTCACACTGAGGACAAGGTTCTTCACACTGAGGACAAAGTTCTTCACGGTCAGGACAAGGTTCCTCACGCTGAGGACAAGATTCTTCACACTGAGGACAAGTTTCCTCACGCTGAGCACAAGGTTCCTCACGCTGAGGACAAGGTACCCCACGCTGGGGACAAGATTCTTCACGCTGAGGACAAGGTTCCTCACGCTGAGGAAAAGGAAACTCACGCTGAGGACAGGGTTCCTCACGCCGAGGGGAAGGTTCGTCACGCTGAGCACAAGGTTCTTCAACGCTGAGGACAAGGTTCCTCACGCTGAGCACAAGGTTCCTCACGCTGAGGACAAGGTTCCTCACGCTAAGGACAAGGTTCTTCACGCTGAGGACATGTTTCCTCACGCTGAGGACAAGGTTCCTTAAGCTGAGAACAAGGTTCCTCACGCTGAGGCTAAGGTTCCTCACGCTGAGAACAAGGTTTCTCAAGCTGAGAACAACGTTCCTCACACTGACGACAAGGAGATGGTTCTTTACGCTAAGGACAAGTTTCTTCACGCAGAGGACAAGGTTCCTCTCGCTGAGGACAAGATTCTTCACACGGAGGACAAGGTTCTTCACACTGAGGACAAGGTTCTTCACGCTGAAGACAAGGTTCCTCACGCTGAGGACAAGATTCTTTACACTGAGGACAAGATTCATCACGCTGAGCACAAGGTTCCTCACACTGAGGACAAGGTACCTCACGCTGAGGACAAGATTCTTCACACTGAGAACAAGGTTCCTCACGCTGAGGAAAAGGCACCTCACGCTGAGGACACGGTTCCTCACGCTGATGACAAGGTTCCTCACGCTGAGGACAAGTTACCTCACGCTGAGGACAAGATTCTTCACACTGAGGACAAAGTTCATCACGCTGAGGAAAAGGAACCTCACGCTGAGGACAAGGTTCCTCACTCTGAGGAGAAGGTTCCTCACGCTGAGGAACCTGAGGAACCATTTACACTTGAAATTTAAATCTACACAACTCTTGAACAATTAGCTCTATAGATTGAGATGTCAAAAAAATCCTGATATTGTGCGGGTTACCTGTTACGTAAAAGTTTTCTTTTAAACGTTTTCTTTGGCATCTGATATTGATCGCGATATAGACAGTTCAAAATCACTTCTAAGGGATAATACATTGACCGAAAATGAGCAATTGCTTCGAATTACAAAAGAACAAACTCATCTGGAATGGCGACTTAAGCGAATTAAAGTCCTACGTCGCAGAAAAGTTAAACATAAATGGCAAATGGAAATCGCCGTCAGGTGGACGCTGGTTATTTACTAGCGATGCTTTGTCTATAACCTGGTATTGTAAAAGCAAAACTGTCTTATTTCAAGGTCTTCGTGGCAGCGAAGTGGCTGACTCTTTGAAGAAAAATATCGATGCATCGCGAATTGCAATAGTGAAAAATGCCGAGTTAATCATTGCTACCGCTGCTGTTTCCGAAAGACGGAATGAATCTATCGATAATCAGTGTAGTCTCAGTATTAACAAGTCTAACTCGAACATGTTTGGCAGGTCTAGTAATACAACAACAACTAGCAACCGAAGCGACTCGGATGCTAGCGAAGGAAAAGCAAATGAGCAAGAAATGTGTTCACACAAGCAGAACGAAGGCGATTATATAATGAATTGCAAAG